GCACAAGTCCAGATGCAAAAAAAGGGAGCAACTCACCAAGCTGCCGTGACTGGGGTTCACAACTTTTCTTGTTAAGCTGCAACGGGGCGGGCCTGCTTCCATGCTTTACTGGGCTTGGACGGAGAAGGGCGTGTGCTCATCAGAATCTTTGTGCGCTTATACAGCTCCGAATGTCTTGTTATGGTATTCCGCCCATCACCTATTTCCATCAAGGCATGGCAGTGCAACAACGTCTGACAGTTAATCAGTATTAGCTGCATGGTATTAATTAGCCGAACCAGTACGAACTAATATTGATATTAGGTGGCACATTGGGAAACTTTAAAATTTCCCTTCTGGTTCCTCTAGAGGTACTTGAGGTACTGATTCATGACTACTTATGAGGGCCCCAGAACTACAACCCAGATCCAGAAATATGGCTATTATTTTTTTTGTGCCCGAGAGACTCTCAAATCGTGACGCCCAGAGCTTGGACCCCAAATCGAGCCGGACCCTAATATGGGGGGGGGGGGGGGGTGCCTGAATTGAATAATTACCCACATGCTGTTCCCTAGGGCTCCTTAATTTTTGCTATACTCTAATATACACAACTGTTACATAACCCTATAACATAGCAATACGAGAAGTATGCCCCGCCAACCCTATTTCTAGTGCTTAAGGCCCCTTCTATTAGACCCTGGAAACCCAAATAGACACCAACCTCGCCTGTGAGCTTTGGGTTTAGAGTTTAGGGTTNNGTTCTCTGCCATGCGAGAGGGAAAATCGACCCCTTCCAAACCCATGGTCATGTACAGACAGGGGCTGGGCACGGCAATCGCGAATTAACCTCTGTGGGGATATACATATATAGAGAGAGAGGTTAAAAAAGAAGGAGACAGGGCAGGGGGCTTGGGCTAGGCGACTCAGCCCCCAAGTATGTGCAGGGATTTTACTGTTTTCGGGAGATTAGATTTACACTTCTGCATTGTTTTGGGTTTTACATTCGAGCCCTCTCTTCCGGGAGCATCCCTATGTGTATTTTGGAGGTAGTTCGGCTGCTGTCGCAGCTTTGGACAATGCTCCCGCTCCAGTTGCCGTGCAGCAATTCTGGGAGTCAACTGTCTTTTCCGGACCCAGGGCCCAGGGTTTAGGGTTTA